CTTATGGACCAAAAACCATATCTCAGGAAGTACTCAACCGATTTCAATGAAATTCGGTATATAATATTTTGTTAACACCGTGATGACATGTACCATGGGTGAAAACGGTTCACAACCACGCCTGAAATCTCGATTATCACTTTATCATGCGAGAGTATAAAATGTTCGGTGACACCCGAACTTAGCCCTTCCTTACTTGTTCTATATAAAATGCGTTTTAAAAATATTGACTTTTGGCAAGTGGACACGGTTTTCACAGCTTAAACTTATGTTCACAAAGAAGAATGTTATATATTAGGGAGGAGAAACCTCAAAAAACAAAGAACCAGATACTTAGTTTTTTTTTTCGTTTTTTAAATATCTCTCAGGCATTTTCTCTTCCAATACAGTTTACAACCCGTAGGAGTTTGTATCACGATTACTGATCTGAGTCACCATGTACAACAAGTTTATAGACAAAATTTCGCATTCACTGCATTTTACGCGCGGAACACGTGTCCCGCCAATTTGCGCGTTTCAGCGCACCCCACTTCAGCATTTCCGCTGTTATGCTCTAATCTTTATAATGTGCCGAATCGCTTTCACTGCTGCTTTAAGTTAAATATAAAAAAAATAAAAGGAAAGCATACTCACTTCAAATTTGCTTGCATGAATAAATGCAACGGACGTCGATTGCGCCCCACCGAGCCGTGCAGCTGGGGCGATGAGGGTCGCGTGTCGCTGCCACCGTTGTGCAGTTGCAGATGCGCGGGTGGTTTCCGACCACCACCCAGCGTCGAAACGCCATTGTAGCGCGGCGTGACTGCGCTGCCGACGGCATGCATATTTGTACTTGAATTCGAGAGAGCCTGCGTGCTGCGAAGAATGTTCGCATTTTTCGTCTTTTGCAGTGTCTTCGTGGGCGAAGATGTGGAGGACGAGCGGAAGCGCGAACCCGTCAGCACAGCTGCCAAATTGGCGGCAATGCGATTGTCGAAACGATTAAAGTAGCTGCCGTTGTCGACGTTCGCGTGATTGCTGTTGCTGTTGCTGTTGCTGTTGCTGTTGCTGTTGCTATTCCGATTGTTGCTGTTCGCCGTGGTTGGCGATATTGTGGTAGCCGGCGTTGTTGTTGTTGCTGCTGGTGCGACATCGTTGTCGACACCCGCTGGCGTCGTGTTGCTATTGCGCTCATAATCCAAATTATTGTTAATCATTTTGAATGAGTTTATGCGTCGATTTTGCGGTTGTCCTGGCGCGGCGAAGGACACCTGCGGCGATGTAAGCTTTTATGATTTCGCTGTGCTTATTTCACTGTGGAACGTTTTCACACCACTTTTTGATACATTTTATTTCATTATTGCTTCATTTCATTATTGTTTTGTTTTTATTTTTATTTTAATATATTTTTGTTGCAATGTATTTTAGTTATTGTAGCTGAGCGAAAAATAAAAAAATGTAAATTATGCTGCACGGCTTAACAGTTGAACTGATAGCGGCCAATTGCCGTTTGCTGCGCTTCAGAGCATCGGAGCTCTCGTTTTGCGTGCTTCTCTTTCCACCGGCTTCTGTTGTTGCTTCAACCACATTTTATGCCGCATTACCAAAGTTAATTCAAGCGTAAACTGACAACAACACACACATAAATACACACACAAATATACCGTAACAGCAATAAAATGCACAAAAAAAAGTGGCTCGCTTCCAAGGGCAACCAAAGCGTTAAGCCGGAAGAAAGCGAGCGTTGGCAAACCGCAAAGCTCGCAAACAACAATGGCAATGAGCCGTTACGTCGCATCGAAGGCCATGCCAGTGATGCAGTACGCACAGGGAAACGTACAACGCACATACTCCACTGCATAGCTTCGGTGTGGGTTAGTAAAGGGGCAGACAGTAATGTTGTCACTGCCAAAAATATGTTTAAATGGTGGTGGCTGCACGCTAAGTGGACAAGGGTGGTAATCGAATGCGCCAAAATGAGTGGCCGCTGGGCATAAAAGCTTTCCTCACTTTACAAATAATTTTTCCCGATTGAATGTGATTGCTTATAAATTTCGAAAATAGCGTTAACGGTGCTGTAATAGTATATAACTGTCAGTTTCAATTTAAAGCTTCCTTTAATGAATAACAGTGACGTCTAGACTCTAGTTGCTCTATTTATTCGAAATATAAAGTGAAAGTTCAGTGAAGAGCAGATTTTGGATACCGTCATTTATGCTTTAAATTTTTATAGCGAATTAGTGTCATCTATATGGCCTTGTTCCCCAGGTGTTTTAATCACCCCATCAATGTAAGCCGGGCGAATTTATTAAAGTCGATTTAACAAACTCTCAAAAGACTCAAAGCATTTTGTCGATATGTGGTGGTCTTTTCTAGCCATACGTTATAGACGAAAGACACGTCTCCAGTGTTTAAGATGTGCTTACGCTATGAGGTTCTAGGTCGTGTTGCTGCCAAGATTCGCACCCGCCTCTGTGCAGCAAAAAACGAACTTCAACAAACATAAGGAAGGTTCGACGTCGAAGAGCTGCAATCACAACAGACAGCCGAACGATTTTCTACTCCCACTTTCTGAGAGGACTCGTCAACTATTCGATGTAAGAGAACTGTGGGATTGCACTTCAAGCTGCTTACGTAAAAGTACGAACATTAGTTTTCGTATAAGCTAAAAGAACAGTTGGTACGATGAGAAGTGCCGTGTCGAAGTAGAGAGAAACCAGACTGCAACGTTACAATCCATCACAACACGTGCGGGATGGGATAGATATAGAGTGTTGAAGAGAGAAACGTGACGCATTTGCAGCGAAAACAAAAGAGAGACCGAAATGCGAAAGTACAAAAAACTAGACAAGCTGGCCGATTCCCCAATCGATAACGACGGAGCGAATGTTTCATTGTCCGACCATGAAGAAGTTCGAATAGCAATTACCCGCCTAAAGAACAATAAAGCGGCGGAGACCGATGGATTGCCGGCCCAGCTATTCAAACACGGCGGCGATGATAGGGTGCATGCATCAGCTTCTTGGTAAAATATGGTCGGACGAAAGCATGCCCAACGATTGAAATTCATGTGTGCTATGCCCAATCCCTAAAAAAGGAGACCCCACAATCTGCGCCAACTACCGTGGGCTAAGCCTCATCAACATCGCGTTTAAGGTTCTATCGAGTGTATTGTGTGAAAGATTAAAGCCCACCGTCAACAAACTGATTGGATCTTATCAGCGCAGCTTTAGCATGGAAAATTAACAAGTGTCCAGATATTCACTACGCGCCAAAGCTGGAAAGGAGAATCGACACACACCATCGGTTCGTCGACTTCAAAGCTGCTTTTGACAACACGAAAAGGAGCTGCCTTTAAGACGCGATGTCTGAATTTGGTATCCCCGCAAAACTAATATGGCTGTGTAAGCTGACGTTGAGCAATACCAAAAGCTACGTCTGGATCGGGAGGGACCTCCCGTAGCCGTTCGATACCAAACAAGGTTTCGACTGGAGAAAATACTTTGAGCTACATATGTGAATAGAGGAGGTGCAATCTTAATGTACAATGACATCATCTGATGAGTCGGCCTTAAGACTTTTCGAGAGAAAGATTTTACGGATAATTTATGGTTCTTTGTGAATTGGAAATTTAGATAGTTCAGCGAATCAAGAGGCTTCGGTTGCGCTGCCTAGTCATGTCATCTGAATGGACGAAAACACCCAGCTTTAAAAGTATTCAACGCAGAACTCGCCGGGAGGAGCAGAGGAAGACCACCACTTCATTGGGAAGACCTGGTGGAAGGAAGAACGATTGGCGTTCTGTTGTAAACTCGGCTACCAGTTTTCTGTCTAGCCTAATCTACCGTGCCAAACAAATTATGTCCATTTATAGACCTAAGCATTATTAATTTTAGTTCGAACTTAGTTTTCCCTTCCTACCAACAAAGAAAAATGTGTGAGAAACGAGCTGACATTGTTTCGCGTTGCAAAATCGCCTTGAATAAATTGCGTAAATTGTTGGCATATTCATGCCCATTAATATTGCAATAAGCGGTCGAGCAATGTGTGCTAAGCGCGTTTGCTAATTAAAATATTTCTAATGTTTCGCAAAATTGTTTTCATTATTTATTGAATACTTGTTTGCATTAAATATTGTTCACAGAAATGTTGCAGACTTTTTAGTTGTTAACTTATATGTTTTTGTTTGTGCGAAATTATGAATTGCAAATTTATAGTTTTTTTTTTTTTTTTTGTTTTTGCTTGTGAAACTCGCTTCTGCATTTTAGTTGCATTTGTTTTGTTGCTCATGTTGTTGCAATTTTGAAGCACATTTCGAATTTTTCAAGTGTTTTTGTCGAATTATATTTTTCGTTAATTTTGCGTTTCAATGCCAATGTGTGTGTGGCAGCCAATTGTTTTTGTACTTGTTGTACTTAATTTTGCCGCCAAATGTCAGCTTTTTGCGCGAGCGTTGAGTGCGCAATTTTTTTGACATTAACCAATTTCATTTGATTCTTGTTGAGTTTTGATGAAATGGTTGTTGTTGTGTGTTGCGGCGTTTCAATGCCTATTTGTTGTTGTCGTTTATAGTATATAGCAGCTGTTTTCTGTTTGTTTGGAATTTTTTCTTTTGGGTGACTGGAGTCCAATTGCATGTGTTGTATTTTATTGTTATTGCTGTTGTTGTATAAAAGGCAGCCGATATGCATGAAAACGAAAGGACAAATAAAAGCGATAATATTTGATTAAATTTTGTTTTTGCAAGTGCATAGCGGTTAAACGTATTTATGTACGCAATGTAGTGTGAAATTGAAAAGTTATTGCGAATAAATTGTAAATAAATTTCAAATAAAGTGCGACAAGTTTACATACTGACCTTTGATTTTGATCGGTGAGGTCCAAGCTCTTCATTGATGCACGCAACACTTTTGTTCCGGAAATTGAGCTGGCTCAAAAGTGATATGTGGCGCTTGGGGAGGCGTTTAGTGGTGCTAAACTACGGTGCATATTGCTTTTGGAAAACTAAAAATACAAAAATTTATGGTGTATTTTTGAAAAAAGTTTTTAATAGAGAGTGAGGGTATTTTCAATTAATTGCTGCTCACACAATGTGAGCAATGCTGTTATTTATACAATTATTTGTGTATATGTTTGGATAAATGTTGCAACAAAGTTGCAGTTAGATGTGGTTTTCAAAATACAAAAAAAAAAAATATTTTTCAGTTTTACTCTGGAATTACTTTAGTAAAAGAAAAGCTTCTCAGTGTAATAAAAAATATTTGTTTGCTATCACTCTTAGACGATTAGATTGCTATACCCAGAAGATATCCAGTAGGTAGTAGGTACTCAAACCTGAAACTGCTTGGAGAGGCAGCAACTCAATTCAACTAGTCTGCTTCGTAAATCTATAATTTATATAGGTGATATATGTGAACTTATTAAGAACATTGCTATAGACTTCCACTTCAAAATAAACAACATTTCTTAAAATAAACTGGCACCAGAATACACTGTGTTAATTTCAGATCATGTCAATGTTTTGTGAAGCGTCGAATCCAAAGTCCTGTGTGGCTGTGAGACATTTAGTGCTTCACTGAGTGTTTTCCTAACGCTACATTCCATTCTTAGCTGTGAATCCGCAAGCTTACCCGGGTATGATGCCCAACGTTATTAACATTGGTAAACTCAGAAACGTCACCAAACTGTTTTACTGTGCCATATTGAAATTCGTCGTCGAAAATCGAATATGATCGTTAGAAAACAGTACGTTGCGAAAACCGCAGCATGGCATGCACGACGGCGAAGATGCGGGAGACAGGCCAACACATGTGAGGGCGAAATCCAAGCAGAAGAGAAATCACACGGAGAGAAATTAACCAAATTATAATTTGTTAATTGAGTGCCACTGAAATACTTGTATTCGTGATAAAGCTCACTCTCGAAGATATTTCTGCATTATTTTCAAGATTCCTTAGCACTGTTTTTACTGGAAACATACAATTTCAAAGAAACATTTTGTTAAACTTTTTTCAATGGTGAAAGTCGCTAAATGGTATAAGAAGATGAAACTTCTCATGAACATAAAAAATGTTATAGTAATCTAGAAAAAATTCGGCCAGTCCGGATCAAATTTGATCATATGGTAGTTGCTATTAGAATTAGCTTTTGTGAAGGGTGTTATATAACTTTAGTGCTGCCGAAGTTAAACTTTTTTTTTTTTTTCTAACACAATTTGTTCCATCGTTCTTTACTACCATAGACATAGCTTACGCGGTTATAGCCGAGCTTACAACAGCGGAAAGTCGTTCTTCTTTTCCCTTGTTTGGCGCCAATGGGAGATTCCAAGTGTGGCTAAGTGCTTCCCCAACTGCTCTTTCCAACGGAGTGAGGAGGTCTTTCCCTTTCTCTGCTTCCCTCGGCGGGACCTGCGTAGCCGCTGTCTTAATTCGCTGAACTATATTAATGTCGTCGAATATATCATATACCCCATCCTTACATCGGTTACCTAAATCGTCCGCAAAACTTTTCTCTCGAACACTCCTAAGCCGGACTATACAGATGATATCATTGTCCATGTCTTCGCACCATATAACAAAAGAAAGCACAATTAACGGCGCGGTTGTTGAGGCCAATGATATCAATATCATCGGCATATGACATACGGCATCGTACCTTCTCTATCCTTCTTTAGATCTGCAGCTCGAATTATTTTCTCCAAGAGCAGATTGAAGAAGTCGGACAATAGGGAGTCGCCTTGTCTGAATCCTCGTTTACTATCGAACGGCTCGGAGAGGCCCTTCCTGATCCTGATGGTTTTTTCTAAGATTTGGATATGGTGAATATCTGTACACTTGTTGGTTTCTCAGGCCTAAAGCCACACAAATAATGTCCAATCAGATTGTTGACGGTGGGCTTTAATCTTTGATACAATACTCTTGATAGAACCTTCTATGCGATGCTGAGGAGGTTTATCAAAGGTCGGGCAATGAAACGTCTGCACCAGCGTCCCCGATTAGGGAATCGGGTTCCCCAACTCCTGGTGTTATGTTTCCACTGCCATTCAGCAGGTTGGAGAGTGTTCCTTTTATAATTGTAGTATGGTGTGGGCATCAGTCACTAAATCATCTTTGGGGGTTCCACAAGTGTATATGTATGTATAATATTATATATATGGAAATATATATTTGCAGGGCAAATAGTACTTGCTGATGTAAGAGTATGTAGTATACTAAAGCTTTGATCTTTTTATGAAGCTGTCAGCTGTGATTTAATGAAAATAGCTATACTCCTCAAACCACGCCAAGCTTTCAAGTTTTCATAACTACCTAAATTAAATAGGAAGCAACAAAACGACTGGGACATAATAAGAACAGAAACCCCAAAAGTAAATATTTGCATAAACTAACTTATTTCAAGCACTGCATAACAAATATAATATGCCTAAGTAAATATACACGCTCTTTTTGAGCGAAATGGTTGCCTGGTATAATCGACGAACACCTCATTGGGCAGCTAATCAGCTGTGTCATGCACAAAGTAACGAAATCACAACCTTTTCAGAGCTTTACTAACATATACATGTAAGCGTGTAATATACACTACTGTTAGGGAGAAAAAATCCCCACAAACACATGCAAATAATTTCGAAAGCAAAAAAGATAGTTCTTTACAAATAATCATCTGTAGTTCGTGAGTAAACGGTCGTGCAACCCCATCGAAATCCGCCACAAAGTTAATGAAACTGGCTGTGAATAAAAGAAGAGTTGCGACGGCCGCAATCATTAACACCAAGTCCCAAAGGATGGACCGGCACAAAGCCGATGGCCGATGTGTGTGTGGAATGCAGCGTTAGAGAGTCCACTGTCGGTTGTTAACGGTTGAGTAAATGGCCGGCACTATGAATAAACCAGAACTCATTCAAGCGTTAATGCGGCTAAAGGCGAAAAATGTAACGGTGGAAAATAACCACAAAGAATGTTGTTGCCAAAATACACAGTCCACACAAATAAATATATGTACATAAATTACAACAACAAATAAAATGTGTGCAAGTTTGTGTGAAAAATAAATGCAAAATGAGAAAATAGAAAAATTGGCAGAGATTAAAGGATACTCGGCGCAAATGTCTTCTTAATTACTTCACAACGAGCTAACGAGCAGCGCTACGGCGGCGGGGTGAGGGAGTGGGGCGCTTGAAGGGCGATGAGAGAAATCAGTGTGTGACTGACGGGTCAAAGGGCGGAGCGAACGAGCGCCAGCGAACACTGGACTTGTGCATCGGCATACGAAAGTGTGCGAGCCAATGACCGGGCTAAAGGCCAGGCAATATAACGGTAAAGGGCGAAGTTGTGAAGCCGTGCAAACAAGGAGAGCAAATTAACAAAAAAATTACAACAATTTTAGCGTAAGTAATTCGACGTACAACAACAACAAACATGCACACCGGCGTTCACGGTGGAAATCAACGGTTAACGGTAAACTTGGCCAGTGCCGACAGACGCCTGCCAACACGACAGCCTTCAAACGGAAGTAATTTAATTAATTACAAATGAAACGGAAACTCAGCACAGCTCCCAGCAATTGCTGTACGCAACTGCTGACGAGCGTTACGCTACACACACACATACACAGACCTATACATATGTATATATAAACACACACAAGCACGTGCATTGCTCTGGCAACTCAATCGATGTGCTCAAAACACCACAAGCAATAGCTTTTGCGCGCCTTGTTTTCCTGCTGATTGTGCAGGCAAAACATGTATTTATGCTCACACACACATGCCTATGTAGTTGTGGCTTTGTATATTTCGTTGTTGTTGTTGCTCCAATTCGTATTTTAGCTTTAATTGCAGCTTCAGTTTCACTGCCGAACACGCCAATTGTTGGCCACCTCGATTCTATAAATTCCTTTGCGTATGTCTGTTTATATGTATGAAAGTGTTGGCGAACCTTTGGAAAACGAAAATCCGATATTGCTTTGCCTCACGTTGCGTTCGATTGTGTCTTAATCGTTTGGAATGTAGTTAACTGATTTATTGCAAGCTTAAAATGTATGTTTCTTTATTTATATAGGCAACATATTTAGCTTTATTTGGTTTCTTTCAAGCAGAGTGTAAAAATTGGTAAAGAAAATCTTATTATACTTGGAGACGGTTGTACTTGTTTGAAAGCAAAGCAAAATAGATACTTTTGGCTCTTAACTTAAAATGTGTATTTTTTATTAAACCACCATTGTGATGTCCTTGACTTCTTCACCATATACTTCTAAACAGGAGTTAACCTTCCTTTGCTAATACGATATTCTTTAAATTTTGATATTGAGAGCCTACATCCACTGTTCAAACAAAGAAATATGGACACCCTTCATTCCATTTCATTCAATTTGGTCAATATTAACTACTGCACCATATACAGGTACATATTAGATCTAGAATAAGAGTGGTAATAGAAAGTACTACTTTTTCTTCCATGGATGACCTTATTCCGTCCTACTTTTTAATAGCAACTAAATTCTGATAAATAGATGATTGATTTTATTGATCCTCTGCTCATCAGGCTATTAAAGAATATAGAAATCACAAGAGGGAATGTCATTTTTAATTTTAAATTTCAGAAATGTCACCACTTGTTCACCAGGCTTTCAATTTTATTTAATATCATCTTATCAAACCATAAAAAGGATGATCCGTTTCGAGGTTTCCTACCTTTTTGAAGAAAAAACACAGAAATTTAAAATTTAATTGAAAATTTTTATTATCATCACGATTATCTCTTTCAAATGTTGACCGCGGCTACGGCTGACGGTCCATCCTCTGAATCCAATTTTCGATTACCCGTTTTGGCATTTTTACTGGTAACTGGCGAATGACAAGCATGATGTTTTGCTCCCAGGACTGAATCGAAGCGGGTTTGTCCTTATAGACCTTAGGCTTTACATATCCCCACAGCAAAAAGTCTAACGGTGTGATAGCACACGATCTTGGTGGCCAATCGACTGGCCCAAAACGTGAAATTATC